TATGGTTCGTAGGAAACTTACCTCTAATGGGAACAGAGTAAAAACTGGTAGTTAAAGTAAGTAGAAGATGAGGAGATGAAGAGATGAAGATTAGCTACTTCAATTAAGTTACCAAGGAAGGCCTGTTTAAAAAAATGGTAGGACAAGAGTAGAAAGAAGAGAATCTTAAAAGGGACAGGTACTATATATGCAAAGAACTGATATATTGAAATATTCCTATTTTAAATTGGTGTTCCCCAGCCTTTTGGGGCACCAGGGACCAGTTTTATGGAAGACATTTTTTCTAGAGAAGGCAGGGTGTGGTGGGGGTGGTGTGGATGGTGATGGTTTAAGGATGATTCAAGTACACTTCATTTATTGTATACTTCATTTCTATTATTATTATATTGTAAGATGCAATTAAATAATTACACAACTATTTGTAGGTAAATATTTATAGCCACTCCCCAGTGCTAGCATCACCACCTCAGCTCCACATCAGATCATCACGGATTATATTCTCATAAGAAGCATGCAAACTAGATCCTTCGAATGCACAGTTCACAGTAGCGTGAACTCTCTTATGAGAATCTAATGCCACTGCCCTTCTGATGGGAGATGGAGTTCAGGAAGTGATGAGGAGTGGCTGCAGATAATAGATAAAGCTTCACTTAGTCACCCCCTCTTAACATCTTACTGTGTAGCCCAGTTCCTAACAGGCCACAGACTGGTACCAATCAGTCTGTGCCTTGGGGCTGGGGACCTAGTTTTAAAATAAAATATATGTTTTGAAATTTGTAAGTTAAAATACATTTTTAATGCTCCTGACAGAACATTACATTAAAGAGTTCATGAATTTATCTGGAATGCAGAGATTCATCTGTAAAATAAAGATGAATCACTAAATTTCTACTACTTGCCATCTCCATTTAGTTCTAAAATTTAACATGTAAAATTAACATGTGGACATGTGAATTTGACATGTGAACTCTTGATATTGTCTTCCAAACATGCTCTTTTTGAAAACTCTCCTCAGTAATGGTGACTCTATTCATTTTTCCAAGGTCTCAGCCTAGAATCCCTAGAGTCATACTTAACTGCTCTTTTTCTCCTCATATCTACAATAATTTATTGGCTCATAACAAGGGCTCTGTCTTCAAAATACAAGCAAGATCTGATTATGCCTCTCAATTTCTACTATGTCTCCCTGGTATAAGCCACCATCATCTTTTACCTAAATTATTCCTAACTGATCTTCCTGTTTCTGCCCTTGAACTCTTTGTAGTCTATTTCTGGGATTATAGCCAGATGATCTAAGTAATGTGAGATCTTGTCTCTTTTTTGTGCAAACTCTAACTTCTTTCTCCAAGTAAACACAAAAAACTATTAACACTGAATAAGGTGAACCTCCTGATGCTTTTTTAACCTCATCTTCTGTTACTCCTGGCTTCACTGTAGCCACACTGTCCCACCTACCCCAGCCTTATATTTGTCTCAAACTTGGCTTTTTTTTCTTCTGCTGAAATACCCTTCCCGCAACAACTTCACGGCTCACCTTTCTCTCCCTTCAAGTCTTCACCTAAAAATTCCTTCTTTATCAACTATGTTAGAGGCCCCCTAACCAGAGTTTGCCAAAGTCAAGTTTGAGATCATAGTTGTCTGGGGTCAGCAGGTGGCATGGTAGTTAAGGTGCTAGATTTCCACATGGCCAACCTTGTTTGATGTAGCACCTTGAAAATCATGCTGGGCACATAATGTGTGGATGACCAAAATCTCAGAAGAAGAATGAAGAAGGGACTGATGCATATCCATCCCTTCAAGAGGTGATTTCTCACTTTCCCTCTCTCTGTCTCTCCGTGGTGAGTGTGTGTGCCCTATGGAAAACAAAAACAAAACAAAAAACAAATGAACAAAAAAAGATCATAGCTGTCTAGACTGCCAAATTAGCACCAGATTTCTGACACCAGTCACAAGTTCGGTAGTTCAAAAGTACTCTCACTCTAGATCACCTGGCTACAAATTTGAGACTCTGTGGATTTCCTTAGGTTTAGGTTTAATAATTCACTAGACTGACTCACAAACCTCAGGAAAATTCCATAATTATAATTACAGTTTTATTATAGCAAAATAATATAAATCAGAATAGTCAAAGGAAGAGACATAAAGCAGGGTCTTGGACTTACAGGGTTATAAAAGCAAAGCTGCTTTGTACTCAGTAGTGGCAATGAGCATTTGGGGTATTGCCACTAAGGAAGCTCATCTGAACTTTGCTATCCAGAGTTTTTATTGGAATTTCATTAGCTGGAACTATCAGGTGCCCACTATAAATCATCTTGTTAGCACAAACTACCAGGTATGGTATTTGACTCTAAGGCTTTAGGGGTTGCTTCTGAAGGTAGAAAACTAGAGACAAAGACCAATTAAATTCTTATATATCCCCTCACGATGACCTCCCTGTACATACACTCTCATACTTACTCAGGTGCCATGTCTTATCCTCAGTTCTTACTTCATTATCTCCCACACCTATTACCATATAACATATTACGTATTTTCTTCAGTGATTTCTTTTTATTGTGTTTCATAGACTGAATGCTGCAAGTTGAAGGAATTTTTTTTTTGTCTCCATTGACTCTCACTTCTGTAACACTGATAATGCTTGAAATAATATACACTCAGTAAATTAGTGAATAAATTCATTTTTAAAATTCAGATTATTTTATAGCTTTTTACATTCAAAATAGAATTTTATTTGTGTGACATGGAATATAATTTGAGCTCATGGATATTGAATTATTTAAGAAATTAGCCAATATGGGAGCAAGCAGGTGGTGTGGTGGTTAAGAGAGTTAGACTCCCACATGGCCGACCATGGTTTGAGTCCCACTGCTTTCTTACTCTCTTTTTCTCTCTTTCTTTCTCACTCTGTATATCTCTGGTCAAATTGAAATAAATAAATAAATAAAGTTAAATAAACAATTATTTAAAAAAGAAAAAGAAATTATTCAGCATGAATTGTCTCCCCTCTGTACTCGTATGACATTGAAGTATTTAGTTGGCTTCTCAATTTATAACTACAAACTATGGCTTCATTTTACTAGATTTTAAAATATACTGAACTATTTTTACTTTAAAATCACTATATGGCTTAATTAGCAACAACCGTCTCTGAATTCTGATGCAAGTTCTGAATAACTGTCTCTGAATTCTGAATCTGAATTCTTATGTATTGATTGGATAGACTGGTATTGTAGAATCCCAGAAAACATACACATGAAGCTAACCACATTTTAAAGCATCTTGAGTCAATTTAATGTCTTTTTCTTTAACCTGTTCATAGAATGAGTCATTACATATATGCTCAAAATCAATGACAAGCAGGAAGTTTTCTGTATTACAGATAGTAGGAAGATATTCTATGCCTTTTTTGGTTAACTAAGATGTGTCTTAGGACCTTTGAATCCTACATAAAAGGAAAATTACAATGGATGATCTTTGATCATTTTGGTATACCACAAAGTAGAAAAAGAATCTCATAGCAAAAATATAGACTTCTCTATTTCATGAAAATTTTTAGATGTTATCACTTTAAAGTCTTTAGTTTGTGACAAGAACAGAAAATGCTTTTAAAAAACAGCAAAGTCAAGATGTTTAAATTTGTTACAACTTTGAGATCAGAATAATACGGTGTTTCTGAATTATGCATCTTGGAAATACATTATATTTCACAAAGTTTTTAATTGACACAGACAAGAAGAGAATTGTATATCTTGTTAGGTTTTAAAGTCTTGGGAGATTTCTTTAAATTGTAGAGTAAAATACTTCATCATTTCAACAGCAATTTCAATCTTTTTTTTCTTTTGAAAACTATATCTATATCCATAGGAAAAGGAACTTTTACTGTTTCTGAATTACAATATGGAGTGTCATGAGTTACTTCATGGGACCAAGTTTGTAAAATGAATACTGGCAGTGCCATTAGTACTTCGCTCTTGAACTCCAGTACAAGTCAGCTCTGTTTAAGTCACCATTTGCAGAAGCCAGAAATGAATGCGCAGTTAAAATGGTGCCATAAGTTAATTAGAGTGGAATTAGAAGGAAAGTGGGCAATTTAGGAACATAAGAATCGCTGTACCGAATCAGACCAATGGCCTCCTGGTTTAATATCCAGCCTCCAGCAGATGGACTTGTTCGTTTCTAAAGCTTTAAAAGAAAGGAAAAAGACTACATAATTCACCTAGACAAGTTTGCCATCTGTGATCTGAAGAAATTTTCTTCTTGACCTCTCTCAAATAATACCCTAAAGCAGAGGTTTCCATCCTGCTATGATATTGGTTTAGCTTGAATAGCTCTGGTTATTAATAATTCTCATTAAATCATCCAATTTCTACACAAAATCAGCTAGTCCATCAGAAAGCTATTTATCTCTAAAGCTCCCAAATTCATGGTTGAGTGTGTCTGCTTGTATGATAAAATATGAATTTATGGTGCTTATTCAATATAAGTTCTTCATGGCAAGATCTGCCTCTAGATAACCATGTTGGATAAATTAATCTCTTCCTCTTTTTCCAAACTCCACTGGGTTAAGAGACTTTGGCAAAACAAAACAAGAAAACTTGTATCTATGAACACTACTCCCAAATTTATAAACATTAATAATCTATGGAAGGTATTTGAATGATGAAGGATTTTATGGACTGAACTTTTAGAAAAGTTCAACTAGAGCTTTGCTTATGATTTTTGTCTATGCTAGCCTGAATTTTAGGAGAAAGAACTAAATTACTTTTTCTTATACCTTTAGTTTTTATTTATGATAGAATGTTCTTTAATTATGTATTTCTTAGTTAATCTAAATATGACCTTCAGTTCAATTCGTTCATTTATCTTTGACATCATCCATCCAAATAAATCCACACTTTTTTGACTGCTTAAATGATTTTATTAACTGTTTAGAGAACCACATTTTTTTTTATTTGATAATGATTTCAATAGAACTATAATGTCTCTATTTAATTATTTAGAAATCCCAGTGGAATTCAGAACGACACCACAAGATGGTCAGTCTTCAAAAGCACTGAATCAAAGTATCTAACCTTGAATACAGAGTCACCGGAGATATACACCAAACTACGTGCTCAACAATGTCGATTCTGGACACTATTTTTTCCCAAAGTCTTGGAAATGACAGGTGTGCTTTTTAAGTGGTTCATAATGAAGTGATTGGGGAGTATGTAAAGGGGGAAAATATAAACTACTCAAAGCGTGGTGATAGTTCACAATATAATATGTACCTTTGATATCTAATATACATATCTTTGATATCCAAACTTTGCAGTTACTTGATTTTTTATGATTACATTATTTTTAAAGTTATTTGATTTTATTTGTTATTATTTAAAGTATTATTTTATTTGCCTATATTTATTAGTAGTATTTTCCATTTTTAAGAATTATTTTATTTAACTTTATTTATTTATTCATTTATTTCAATTTTGACCAGAGAGGGACAGAGCAAGAGAGAGAGAGAGAGAGAGAAAGCAAGCCACCAGGTCTCAGACTTGAACCATCCTCGGCCACATGGGACTCTAGCACCCTCAACCATCACACCACCTTCTGACCCTGTTATTATTAGTTTTTAATTTGATCAGAGGAAAATATATATAGAGAGAGAAAGAAAAGTAAAGTGAGAAATCAAGCCATGAGGTCCAGTACTTGAACTGTTGTTGGCCTTGTGAGAGTCCAGTGCCCCTGCTGGTCCCAAAGGTTACATTATTTTAGCAACTTTTATCGAGCAAATTTGTTTATGTTTTGGTGGGTTACTGTGTGAACCACACTTCAGTAGTTGAATAAAGAAAACTGAATTATGAATTCCCATGGAAAAAAATAAAATCTGGTAGGGAAACTAAGATGGGGCCCTACTTGTTATTCAGCCAATTTTTTTTTTTTTTGGAGAGGTTTTCGTGTTAGGGT